GTAATATACAGTATCAAAATTTTAAAGCACAAAAGACATCTCATATTCAAGAAGAATTCATGCTGCCATAGGAAAAAGGTAAACACCAATCTAGCTACAAATCCTATAATCTACAATGTTGACCTGCCTGTATGATATGCTGGTTATAGTGGCATAAACTTTGTGGGAGTAACCTACCACATATGATTGGGTTTAAAGCCTACTCCACAAGATGGAAACCATGCCTGGTACTGCCCAGATAACCAAGTAACTCATATTAGATAGGCCAAGGGCCTAGGGGAAAACTAACTGCTATTATTCTGCTAAAGGAAAAGCAATAATGACTCTTAAAAACATTCTTCTACCAAATGAATCAGTGCCTCACTCAGCCATCATCAGAGAACATTTCTCTTTCAGTAAATGGTAACTAATGCTGAGACCCACAATTGGATTATAAGAAGACTGTGAAAGACCGAAACACCGAGTTCTAAATGGAATGTCATCATTAGACCTTCCCATCAAGGGCTCAGGGAACTATGCAGAATAAGAGGCAGAAACATTGTAAAAGCCAGAGAGGATGGATGACACCAAGGAAACTGTGTCTTTCAAACACAACAGACTGATGCACACATGAATCAAAGATCTGGTGGCAGTATCACAGGGCCTGCACAGATTCAAGCCAGATGGGGCCCCAGTGTTGAAAGTGGGAAGTGGACACAAGCTCCCATCTGTAACTAAGAAGTTATCTCCTATCGAGATATGCTTGTAATGGAAAAATTACTTTTCTATAATGGAGTATAACTGTGATATTAATCACACTTAATGTTAGACATCATGCCTAAAAGTAGATGGCCAACACAAAATCAACTAAATTGCATTTTCATAGACTTTTTGTCTTATATCACTTTGTTTGGGCATTTTTGTCTTATTGGTCTTTTGTATATATTATGTTTCCTGATTTTGTGTTTTTATGGTGTGTGTGTGTGTGTGTGTGTGTGTGTGTGTGTGTGTGTGTATGTATGTATGTGTGTGTGTGTGTTTCATGTGCTTTCTCTGTGGGTTTTTTGTTGTTGTTATTTTTTCTTTAAAAATGTATTTTTCATTTTACATATCAACCCCAATTCCCCCTCCCCCCCATTCATTCTTCAGTGAGGGTAAGACATTCTCTGGGGAGTCAACAAAGTATGGCATACCAGTTTGAGGCAGGACCAAGCCCATATTCCCCTGATTAAGGCTGAGCAAGGTATCCCACCATAGGGAGTAGGCTCCAAAAAGACAGTTCATGCCCCTGGGATAGGTCCTGGTGCCACTGCCAGGGATGTCCCCAACAGATCAAGTCACATAACTGTCCCCCACATTCAGAGGGTCTAGTTAGGTCCCATGTAGGTTTCCCAGCTGTCAGTCCATAGTCCATGAGCTCCCACTAGCTTGGATCAGCTGTCTCTATATTTTCTCCATCAGTGTCTTGACTCCCATGGTTTATATGCTCCCTTTTCTCTCTCTTCTACTGAACTCCAGGAGCTCAACCTTGTGTTTGGCTGTGGGTCACTGAATCTGCTTCCATTAAGTTACCCAATGTAGGTTCTATGATGATAATTAGGGTAGTCACTAATCTGATTAAAGGGGAAGGCCCATTCAGACACCCTCTTCCTGGTTGCTGGGAGTCTTTTTAAAGCTTGTTTGTTTGCCTTTGATGTTAGCCTGTTTGTTTTCTAAAGAGAGGAAGTGTGGAGTTGGTGGGGGGTGAGGTGGGAAGGATTTGGAACAAGTTGGGGGAGTTGAACCTTGGTCAGAATATATTTTATGAAAATAATTTTATTTTCAATAAAAATACTATTAACTACCTTATTAACAGGTCTTTGACAATTATTGCCTGTCCTGTTCTGTACCCTCTACAAAAATGAATATTGTAAATATTTGGGAAGTAAATATAGCTGATATCCAGAAATATTAAAGGTATTTGCTCAGTATTGCACTAGAAAAGAACTAAATAACATTTTAGTTCTTTATTAATGGTATATTGGGGAGCATATACTGTCAATAAAAGCAAGATTAGTGTTTCTAGTGTTCTCAAGAAAAATTTAGAGGGAAGTGATGTTTAAAAAAATGCCTTGTCTCAGATATCATCAAGAGACAATTAGGTCATGTTGGAACAGGTCTACTGTAAACAAGAGTGCTCAAAAGCGATACAGAGCAGGATGCTTATGTGTGAGAGCTCATGGGGCTTTTGTGGAAATAAAACATAATAGAATTCCTCCAGGTTTCTCAGTGAACTGATACTGGTTTGATAATGGTAAGTGATAGACAACACCCACGTGAAAACTGGTTGGACTTGGAGAGTACCAACTCTGAGCTCAAGGAGGTGTTGGTGATTAATGGTGAAGGAGTTTGCTGAAACACCTGCAGGCACTGAGAAGTTTTGAAGGACCAGGAAAGAAATTCTCTCTGAATTCTGGAGCTCAAGTAAGTGATCTGTTATGGATGTTGGAGACAAGGGTGTTTCCTCCCTCTGTAAGTCTTGCCTTCTTTAACTCTAATTTCCTATTAAGAAAATTCTTTATTATATATGGAGCTTAGAAATCTGACAGGCAGTGAAGTCCTTAAAAAGGAAGGATTTGCTTTCAAATTTCATTATCAAGATTCCAGAGTGCCCTGAATTTCAGAAAGTATACCATTTCCACAGAATAGTTTTTTAGAAGAACCCAGAGAGAAAATAGTGGGGCCAATGTTTTATACTTGACACTCATAACACAGGTGCCTCCAGTTAGTAAGTTCTGCTTACTAATTTGTAAATTATATAGTAAGACATCTATGATAAAGTTTGTACAGATAAATATCCACCAAAATTCATCGCTAATACTTTGTTTATTTAAAACACACTCATTATCAAGAGATTTATTGAGGTTTAACTGAAATGCAACAAAGTCTGCATTATATTTAAGGCAAATAATTTGTAAGGTTTAAATATGTGTACAATCAAGAAATTGTCACTACAGTCCATATAACAAATAACTGTGACCTCAAACTGTCTTGGTGAGCTTTTGGGATCATTCCTTTCTATCTGTTTTCTTTGTCACTAGGAAACCACAGATATGTTGTCATAGTAATTACTTGCATTTCCTAGAAGCTTATGTACTTACAATTATAACATGAACTAATTTCATCAGACTCTTTTAACTTAGCCAAATCCTCTAGAATTTGATAGCCATCACTTACAGAGAAATCTGTCATACTACTTTTTATGATGCATATGGCTATCTATAGTTTGTTTGTCCATTCTTTGGCCAGAAAAATATGTTGAGTTATTTCTAGTCATAAGCTTTCATATACTGCTACTAGGTATAAGTCTTCTTGTGCTTTTGTTTCTCTTAAAATATCCTTAATAAATTCAAACATTAGGTTAATTGTTCTGAAAGCAGTAGGTGATAATGGAGGGAGGTCCTGGAATCATACCATTTAGAGATTACATTTCTTATTATGTCTTCTTATTGGATGTAAACCCACTCTTCCAGGTAGTAAGCCAATCAATCACCTGCCCACATCATGATGTATATGCCACATGATGGAGCAGTATTATAGTGTTATATAATGTGTTATTTGCAGATAAGTAGAAGATACTCCATTAACTTTCTATGTGTGTGCACTAACCACAAAATGGCCAAGTAAAGGTCCTACTTTATTTAGTGATAGAGGGATTTTGCTGATCTCCATGATGGCAGGGATTTCTTCCTCATGATCTTGACTCTAGAACATATGTCGATGACTTAAATAAAGTTCTGTATTGCTCTAATGTTTGAAATCATTTATTGTTGTTGGCTGCCAGGCTGAGATGGCAGGCTGACACAGTGAATCAACTCATGTCTATGACTTTAAGGTCAATATGTGCTTACCTGATAAAATGCATGACACCCAGCTAAGTTGGAAGTAATTTATTTGTCTAAATATACCATATCCAAATATTTGGTTATATTTATAAAAAAATCATTATTTGTTTAATATTAAAATTTAGATACATAGCATGGTTTTATATAAAGGGACAACATAGCATAAAATTTGAAGTTTCAGTTTATTGTCAAAACTTTTTATTTATGCACATTTGTATTAGTCCTTTGAAACATCCTAATTTTGTACAATGAATTTTGATTATACTTATCTCCCAAATCTTCCCATATCCATCCCTTCCATGTTTATCCAAATGTGTGTTCATTCTTAAAAACCCTTCAAGACCAATTTTAGGCTGCCCAGATATTCTTGGAATTGTAGTCTTCCCCTTGAGTATGGTCAACTTTCAAATGCTTATAGGCTTTGAAAAATCTAGCACTTCCTTTCCCAGAAGCTACTAATTGCTGATTGCTCCATGCTCAGGGGTGGGTTTGTGTGCCCAGCCTCCTCCTATGTTTGACATGGAATGGGTTTGTACAGGTTTTATGCATGCTGCCTTAGGTGCATATCCAGAAGGGTATCCAGAAGGTATTTCCTTATAGTCCCCTACCACTTTGGGTTCTTATACTGTTTCTGGCCCCTTTTAATCAATGATCTCTGAGCCATAGTACTGACAGCAATGAGGAATATATGTTCCCTTTAGCACTAATCATTTTTCAATTTCTTATTTTCTGCACCTTGACTAGTTATAGTTATCTGTGTTAATCACTATCTATAGAAAATAGAAGTTTCTGAGATGATAAATGGGAGATGAATTGTTCAATGAGTATAAGTCACTAAGCTTCAATTCAATATTATGTCAAGTTAGCAACATAATAGAGTTGGTATTCCCTGAGGTCTATGGCCTGACTAGATATACAGGAGTATGAGCCAATGGGATAAAGGTACTGAGAAGATCTTTCCTGATCAGAACATGTGTGAGAGCATAGACATTCTATCAAACACTGGCAAGATTTACTCCATAAAAGGAAAAGTATTACTCTTGTCCTTTTTTATAGTTATCAAGAACATTTGTCTATACAATCTATGCCTCATGTCTCATGGTCTATGACCACTTCCTAGTCTCATTTGCAGATACGATGAAGCTTAGGTTCTCTTACTTTTTTGGATATTGTGGATACTTCCTTTTTCTGAAAGTGATGATGTCTTCAGGTAAGAAATTTGTTTGTTTTTGTTTACCTTTTCCTTTTAAAATATTTTCAAAATTCTCTTGACCATTTCATACATGTATATAGTGAACTTAAATTATGTTCACCTCATTCCCTGTTTGCACACCTTCCTTCTCCTGATGAAACCTTTTTCTTCAAAACAAGTCCCATTCCATTTTCCATCCTCTTTTTGTGCATGGCTCTGTGAGTGTAATTAGAATTGCTTGCATGAGATTGGGCAGAAGGTTATTTGCTAGGACACAATAGCCTCTCCCCCAGAATCCATTAAGTGCCAACAGACTCTCAGACATGGGTAGGGACTCCTGAATGCCCGATGTGATGAAATACTGATGGATTTGATAATGTGTAACACTCGTGTCAATGACCACTGCCATCATCTGTCATAACCAGAAGGATTTTGTTTCCTGCATATCTCCTCATGCCCTGGCTCTTTATTCTTTATATGTCCTCTGCTTCAGTGTTCCCAGAAACTTGAAGTGGATTATATAGACATCCCATTTAGGGTAGATCACCCCACCATCACTTATTCTCAGCATCCTGGCCAGTTATGGGTTTCTGGATTAGCAGTCACCCCTGTAACATGGGGCTTCTTTGATGAAGGCAAAGCTCAACACTATCTCAGATGAAAGAAGGGATTGGAGATGACTCATTTACTTTTTTCTAATTAGTTTTGGCTGTGAGTGGAATCTAAGATACACTTCCAGGGACTCATCCTGCACTGAAGGAAAAGAAAGTTATCAGTCCATTGTTATAACCAGTAAAACACAGAACCCACCCCGGGAAATAAGAATCATTGTAGCTCCATAAAAGTGAGGTGACCAGGAACCAAAATAAACCTTCCATTTTAAGTTTTTCTTTGATGGAATTCAGCACAGTTCCCAGTAATTGACTAATTCTAAGGCCTTGTGAAGTTCCAAACTAGTTGCACCAGATGATTCTTCCTCTATATGACTGTATTTTAAGTAGAGAAACAAATTGTTGTTGCTTCCTACTCTAGCATCTTCCCAAATATATTTTTAAAAATACAATGAAAATATTGGGTTTTCAAAAAATAAAACATTGATGGACTACAAGGAGTATAGTCAGAGCCAAACGTTTGGGTCAGCTAGGTGTGAGGGGCAGCATGTAGTATGTTTTTTTTTTAAACAAGGTTAAGAGACAGTGATGGTTTTTGGCTTCAGACTTATTATGTTATTTTTTGTTCTTCCACAGGGAAAATGATGGTGTCTACTCACAAAGGACAGGTGTTAGCTAGAGTAGGAGGCCAGGCTGAGCTCAGCTGCCAGGTGACCCCACCACGCAGTGTGGAGTATATGGAGGTACGCTGGTTCAAGAGTGGCCATTCCCAACCTGTTTACCTATACCGAGGTAGCCAAGGAGTGAGTGGAGAAGCTGCACCTGAATATGTGAATCGTATGGAGTTTGTGAAAGAGGCTATTGGGAAGGGAAAAGTGGGCCTCAGAATTCATAATATCAGCATTTCTGATGATGGGCTTTACCAGTGTTTATTTAATGACAGTGCCTTCGGTTATGTGGACAGCATGAACCTCAGTGTGGCAGGTAAGTTGCCGATGGAACATAGTGTGCCAGTGCCCTTGTGCCCAATAAACTGAAATACATGGAAACTGTCTTGGTTTTTTATGTTGTTTTTTTTTTTTACATTTTAAGTATTAGAGTTTTATTATTAATTTAAAATAATTATTATTTATTTTTAAGATAACACCAAAGCATTGAGGCATCCATATAAACTAAGCACTGTCATTTGCTAGCTCCAATAATACAATAGTTCTTTCAAAAAATTTTTTATTTGTTGGTATTATAATACAATTACATAACTTTATTCTTTTTTTTGTTCCCTCTAAACTCTCCCATAAATCTCTCATATCTCTCTTTCAAATTTATGGTCTCTTTTTATATTGTTTTACACACACACACACACACACACACACCTGTGTTTGTTTTCAGGGCTGACCATTTGGTATTGGGTAAGCAATTGATGTGCTCTTCAATGGGAAGACTGCTTCTCCAGCTCTCCACATTCCTTAGTTGTCTTTGTGAATGGTTTAGGACCTTGGGGCTTCCACCTGCCTCCCCCTAGGCCACTTTGGTATGCTTATTGTTGTTGTCTTTGTTCAGCTCATATTCAGGCAGTCATGCTAGTGAGACTTAATGGGTGCAGCTTCTTTTATTACTAGGAGGTGAGGTTTCACACCAAACGTTCTTATCCTCTGGCTCTTATATTCTTTCTGTCCCTTCTTTGGCAGTGTTCCCTGAACCTTAGGTTATGAGAACTGTTTTGGAGATGTATCAGTTGGGACTGGGCTCCAAACTCTGCATTTTGATTGGCATGGTTTTCTGTAATGATCTCTGTCTGTTGTAAAAAGAAGTTTCTTTAATGAGGGGTGAAGATTACACTTATCTGTGAATAAAACGACAAGTATTTAGAATGCAGTTAGGCATGGTGGTTTAGGAAAGTGGGAGTTGTCATTTCTCCTTGAAGATCCGTAGCTTCAATATCACTAACCCTGGGTAGTTGTCTAGCTTTCCAAGACCAGGGATCATTTACCCCTTGTTGAGTGGGTCTTAAGTCCACTTAGAGAGCATCAGGTAACCACTAAGGTATATGCGCCACCACTGCATCCTTAGGGTTATTTTGTCATACTGCTCATTCATGTGGTTCAAGGGCATTGCAGCTGAGTAGGGCAGTTGTTTGCTTCCCTCCTTCGGAAGCTTCTAGTACCATGAAAGCTAGTGTCAGGGGAAGGCTTTCAGGTTAGATACAGCTGAAGGTCTCTGGTTCCTGTATCTGAAGTGCATGGTGTCTATAGCATTAGGAACTTACCTTCTACTTCTGGGAATAACCAAGGACAATCATACCCTCCCTTTCCCCATTTTTATAATCAGAGCACACTGTTTTTTCCTTCTCTATTACTCCACCACCCTCCCATTCCCAGCAATAGTCTGATGTTACCCATTTGCCTGCCAATTACAGGAGTCCATTGCTTTTTCCCCCAGTAATACTCCATTGTGTAAATGTACCACATTTTCTTTTTCTTTTCTTTTCCTTTTTTGGTGTTTTGTCAGTTTTATTTTTCTTTTCCTTTTTTAATTTAAATTAGAAACAAGCTTGTTTTACATGCCAATCCCAGTTCCCTCTTCCTCCCCTCCTCCCCTGCCCCCCACCAACATTCTATCCCATCCCCTTTCCGCTCCCCAGGGAGGGTGAGGCCTTCCATGGGGGAATCTTCAAAGTCTGTCATATAATTAGGAGCAGACTTTGAAGTACCATATTTTCTTTATCCACTCTTCAGTTGAGGGTCATCTAGGTTGCTTCCAGGTTCTGGTTACTACAAATGATGCTGCTATGAACATAGTTGAACAGATGCCCTTGCTGTATGAATGTGCATCCTTTGGGTATATGCCTAAGAGTGAAATTGCTAGACTTTGAGGTAGATTGAATCCCAATTTCCAGATGAACCACCATACTGATTTCCAAAGTGGTTGTATGAGTTTGCATTCTCACCAGCAGTGGAGGAGTGTTCCACTTTCTCCACATCATCTTCAGCATAAACTGTCACTGGTGTTTTGTTTTTAGCCATTCTGACAGGTGCAAAATGGTATGTCAGAGTTGTTTTGATTTGCATTTCCCTGATGGCTAAGGATGTTGAGCACATTTTGAGAATTTTTGTTCAGGTCCCAGGCTCATTGTTTTGAATGGGTTATTTAATTTTTCTTTCTTTGTAATTTTTTAATTTAATTTAGATATTAATCGTCTGTCATATGTATAGTTGACAAAGATTGTCTCCCCTCCTTTCTCTTTATCTGGTTGATTTTTTTCATTAGCTGTGCAGAAGCTTTTTCGTTTCATCAGTTGTTAACTTTAATCCTTGGTCAAATGGAGTACTATTAAGGAAGAATTTTCTAAACATATAATATGTAGCACATTGCCTATATTTTCTTCTGGTTTTATGTTCCATATTTATGTCTTTTGTTGATTTGAAGTTAGGTTTTGCACAAGGTAATAAATATTGGTCTGATTCCTTCCTTCTTTCCTTCCTTCCTTTTTTCCTTTCTTTCTTTCTTCCTTCCTTTCTTCCTTTCTTTCTTTCTTCCTTCCTTTCTTCCTTTCTTTCTTTCTTTCTTTCTTTCTTACTTTCTTTCTTTCTCTCTTCCTTCCTCCCTTTTTTCTTCCTCCCTTTCTTTCTTTTTGTTTTTGTTTTTATTTTTGTTTGAGACAAAGTTTCTCTGTGTAGGCCTGGATGTCCTGGAACTCACTCTGTAGACCAGGTTGGTCTCAAACTCAGTGATCTGCCTGTCTCTTCCTTTCAAGTGATGGGATTAAAAGTGTGCACCATCACTACTCAGCAGATGCTGGTCTAATTTCATACTTCTACATGTGAGCATCCAATTTTCTGAGATTCATTTGTTGAAGATGCTTTCTTTTAGAAAATATTAAAATATTCAAGTGATGAGTAAAAACCATGAAGTCCTCAAAAATATACTATGAAGTGGATAGACATCAAATACTTACTGGTTAGTCTTACCTTAAATTGAATGTGGTGTTGATTCACACATTTTCCAAGTTTATAGAACAAACTATCATGCTTCTGCTGTTTGAAGTAGTCAAGTGAACCTCAACAAAATATACTGATTCTTTTTTTTTCTCATTTCCTCCAGCAGTTGGATTGGAGACACAGATCCATATTCAGGCTCCAGGTGCTGATGGAGTCCTTGTGGAGTGTGACTCAGCAGGGTGGTTCCCCGAGCCACAAATGGAATGGAGAGACAGCAGGGGGAAAGCACTTCCACCATCATCAAAATCATATTCACAGGATGAAGCTAGATTTTTCCACTTAAAGACAACTCTACTCACAAACAGATCACAGGGTGGTATCCTGTGCTGGATTTCCAACCCTTTAACAGGTGAAGAGAAGCAAATAAGTGTCATCTTAGCAAGTGAGTATTGCTGTTCAGTTTGGCAGTTGATCTGAAAACATAAATACAAAAATATGGAGTTGATTAATATTTCAAAGGCTTATTATATTATGGAGTTTCCTTTGGGTTTCAGTAAGACAAATTGTCAGGTACTATGATGAGAGTATTTGAAGGCAAGCGAACAAGGACATATATTGCAGCTTTATTGACATTTAATATTATTTCATTGGGCATAATATTTTTCCATAAGTTTAATATGATACATATTTTGGTAAATATAAGAATAGTGTTGATTTTTATAATCAATGCTTTTTTAGCTAGGATATAAATATGTATCTAGGAAATGAATATATCTATATCTATATCTGATGCTATGTTTTAAAATTCTATTTCATTTATTGGTGTGTGTGTGTGTGTGTGTGTGTGTGTGTGTGTGTGTGTTTGTTTGTGTGCCTGTGTGCATGTGAACATAAACCATTGTGCATATTTAAAAGTCAGAGGACAACTTCCTTGATTAAGTCCTCTTCTTCCACAGTGGGTTCCAAGTATTAAAATTGGGTCTTCAAGTTTACACGGCAAGCAGTTTTACTACTTAGCCCCCAACTTTTGCTGTTCTTCATATGTTTATTTTTGATTTTGAAACAAAGTCTTATCGTGCAGCCATGGCTGGCCTGGAACTTGCTAAGTTGAGCAGGCTTACCTCCAATGTATTTATATCCTCATAGCTCTTCTTCTGGAATGCTGGGATTAACAATGTGGGCCACTGTGCCTCATGCCTAAATTTATTGTTTTTTATGAATCCTAAATGAGTGTATGCAAGAAGCTTTTATTAGTCTCATGTAATATTCAGAAGTGTTCTGCCATTTGAATATAGTACTGAATGATAGTTGACAAAAGCCACTCAAACCAGTAGTGAGTAGCAAGTATATCTAAAGCCCAGACTACTTAATATTACATTGCTGGGTCATAGGAGTTGTAATGGGTGAATGTCAAAGACAAATCAGGAAAAGATTGTGTCTTGTGTATAGCAAAATTACCTTTAGCTAATTGTAGAATTATCATTATCAACTGTTAGCATTGGGAATATGTAACTTAAATCTCACTTCATGGAATCATTTTCTATCCCCAGAGCAATAGTCCCTTCTTTATCTTACCTCTTTTACACTTAGAAGATCATAATATAAATGGAAAAATACAAATTTATATGACTGTGTGTGAGTCTGTAGAAAATATTTGATTGCAGAAAACACACATGTATAATCACTGAAGGCCATCGTTATGACATTTGCTGAGAATTTGAGTACAGTCTAGGCTATAGAGTGAAAATTCTGCTGTGTGTGTGTGTGTGTGTGTGTGTGTGTGTGTGTGTGTGTGTGTGTTTGTCTGTGTGAGAGAGATAGAGATATAGAGACAGAGAGACAGAGAGACAGAGACAGAGACAGAGAGACTGAGAAAGGGAGACATTCTATTCTGCTAAGATTTCATGATAGTTTCTGAAAATGAGTTTTTTAGAATAGAATGATTATAAGGTCACAGAAATGGTTGTGAATGGAGATTGTTTTTCTCCTGATGTAGGGGAATTGTATAATGGTCATACCTTAGACATTAGCTTGCAGGATCTTAAGGTGAAGAAGTGTGTTTAGGATCAACAATTTTCAAAACCAATGGATCTATTTGTGATATTCATAATGTTTTAAAGACATCTTTTCCTTTGTTTTAGATGACCTCTTTAATCGCGACCACATTTGGATGAACCTTTTAATTTGCATTACACTTATGATACTCTTTGTATTTTTGATACACATCTGCTACTTTCATCACATAAGCCAAGGTAATGATATGATGAAGATAGGATAATTAAGGTATTTTTAAGAATTTGATTCTATTCATGTGAGTGTTTAGGCAAAGCTGGATTTCATTTATCTTCCAATGCCATGGTTGCCCCAAACAGACTCATGAATGTTTTTCATCTTAGAAATGTTGAACTTGGGCATCACCCAGATGCTGGGTGAAGGCTATAAGATGGCATATAAATCAGTCATCAATCTCATTATCAGGGGAGGGCATTTAAGGTAGCCTCTCCTCTGTTGCTTAGATTATTATTTGGTGTCATCTTTGCAGATCTCCAGACATTTTGCTAGTGCCTGATTTCTCCTTAAACCTACAATGTCTCCTTCTACTTTAGTATCTCTTATCTTGCTCTTATTTATTTTTCCCCATACTCAACCTTCCTGCTCCCACATGTCCTCCTCACCCCTCCTCTTTTCCCCTTCTCATCCTCCTAGCTCCTTCTCCCCTCCCCCAGGCTCCCAATTTGCTCAGGAAATCTTGTCCCTTTCTTCTTCTCTGGGGGACCATGCATGTCTCTCTTAGAGTCCTCCTTGCTTCCTAGCTTCTCTGGCGGTGTGGATTGTGGGCTAGTAATCTTTGCCCTATGTCTAAAATCCATATATGAGTAAGTATCTACCATGTTTGTCTTTTTGTGACTGGGTTACACTGAACTGAACTGGAATCCAGTTGCAGAGAAGGAGGAGTGATGAGCAAAGGGATCCAGATCATGCTGGTGAAACCCACAGAAACAGCTGACCTGAACACCCGGGAGCTCTTGGTCCCCAGACTGAGCTGGGAAACTAGCATGGGACTGATCCAGACTCCATGAACATGGGTGTCAGTGAGACATCAGAAATCTATGGGGCCTCCTGTAGTAGATCAGTACTTATCCCTAGCATAGGTATGGACTTTGGGAGCCCATTCCACATAGAGGGATACTCCCTGAGCATAGACACACAGGGGATGGGCCTAGGCTCTATCCTAAAGGATATGACAGACTCTGAAGACCCCCTATGGAAGGCCTCACCCTCCCTGGGGAGCAGAAAGGGTATGGGATAGGTAGGGTGTTAGTTGGGGGGGTCGCATGGGAGGAGGGAATGAGAGGGAACTGGAATTGACATGTAAAATAATCTTGTTTCTAATTCAAATAAAAAATGGTGAAAAAAAGAAATGTTGAACTTTTGCACTGATAAATTTGAGATTACTAAACCATGGCTGTTCTTAGGGATGGTGTCTATTTACATGACTTATAACCTTTTCATTCCTATAGTCACTTTTATACCTCTGTAGGAGCATACAATGAGGTAATAAAATAAATGAAAAATTAAATCTTGAAAACTAAAAGAATAATTTCCCTTTCAAGAAGAAGTTCAGCTCAAAATGGAATAGACTCAATTTGTGCTGCTTCAAGTCCAGGCCTGCTAGTGCAGCAATTCTATCTCATTCCGTATTTCCATTAGCTACAAACCAAACTTTCATATGGATCTCTATTAGGTCAAGCAGATCCTGCATTCCAATGGAGTTTTCTGTAGTGGAGTATCCTACAATCATGTGTTCCTCTTTCTCCATCCTACCCTTCTCTGTTCTAGGGTCTACAACTAATCGTCAACATCAGTGTCACCGTGTATTTAACCCAGAGCCTATTCAAATACTGAGTTTCTTAATCTGTACTATAGTACTCTTTGCTGTATATCTACCACTTCGGAGCAGAGGTAAATGGGATTAGTGGCTGTGGGATGTTTCTTAGTTGTCTAATTTTCCTACAAACAGTTTCCTTAAGATTTATGTGAGAATTCCATCATTACCAGGAGAACCTGTAGTTTAGGTGACAGCTCAGAGGACCATTTTCCCGCATTAAAATTATGGATGTCAAGGGCTAGGGCTGCTCTGAGTCTACAGCACTTTCGGCTGTGCTGGAAATCAGATCCTCCTGTTTCTTCTGCTATAACAACAACAACAAAATGTCCAGAATACATGCTTAAATTCAATGACTCACTTTTATGTATTTCCTGGGGTCACTTAACTGTCAGTATGAATTTGTGAATTTATGAGAGTAAGTTAGGTTTCAGTGTGTGTTGAGCCCAACAGTCTACACTGAAAGTATGCTAGATATTGACTTTCGTGACTGATTTTTCAGCACTAGAAATATATATATATATATATATATATATATATATATGTGTGTGTGTGTGTGTGTGTGTGTGTGTGTGTGTGTGTATTCAGGATACATTTATGCTATGATATGGCCATTACTTAAAAGTAAATTAATGATTGATGTTATTATACTAGTTGTTTTTGATGCTTTGACAATTCTCCATTATTTAGAGGCTTATAGAGAAATGCATGTAGATGAGATTATCACAAATCAAAGCACAGAAACATTTTAGTTTTAGCATGACTTACCAACAGTAAGTGAGAATTTTATAGTTATAGGGGTTCCAAGAGGGCTTTCTTTATTCCTGTATTTCCCATAATATTTCTGGACAGGCCTTGGAAAAGAATAAGTATAGTCAGGTATTTCAAGCATCTCCATTGAAAATTACAACATTCTAAATTGGGATTTATAAAACATGTGATAAAAGAAAGTACTGTTAATTATTGTCCAATGAAAATAAATATATTGACATTCAAAATGTAAACACAGAGATCCAAGTTGAGAAAAAAAATCATCAAAACCCAATCTCCTCTGGATATTTTTATTCAACCTGTGCTTCTTGTCACACCTAAGGATCCTGTAGGAGAAAATATAAGGATCCACAAAACCAGAACCAAAGCCATTATAGCTTCTAAATTATCCCTGATTACAAAGGTCTTTTTCAAATTTAGTGACCATACAGGGATATTAGAAATGTCTTTGGAAATGATAACTGTAAATTGAACTGGATTATATGTTGAATATATGTAGAACCCTGTAAGCAACTATTAAGATGCATCAATTTACATATCACTAACAATGAACAAGGGAGCACTTGCCATTGAATTACGTGTTTCATATGTGTTAATCTTTGATCATATATATGGGTTACAAGTAATTCCCCCTTCTCTCATTTCAGTAGTTGTCTTTTCACTCTGATTTGTTTCTTTTGTTGTGCAAATTGCCTTCCAGTCATTTTTTTCTTTTGTGTCTATCTTTGTTGTTGTGTTCAAGAAATCATTGCCAAGTCAATGCCAACCAATTCCTTTATGTTTTCTTTTATACAACTTATGGTTTCAAGTATTAGCTTTACATGTTTAATCTATTGATTCAATATTTTTGGCATATGGTGTAATACAGAGGACTGTCATCATTCCTTTACATGTGGGCATCTATTTTTTTCCCAGAATCATTCATTAAGGACACCATTCTGTTTTCATTGTATATATTTGGTACCATTGTCAACTTCAATTGACTACAAACATATGAGTGTATTCTAGGTTCTCTCTTCTGGTATACTGACGCATATATTTGTTTCTATGTTAGCATTACATACACTGTTTAGAGTCTGCATTCAGTCTTTATTACTGAAAAAATATGTAGTTTGAAGTATAATGTCTCCAACTTTGATTTTCATGTGCAAGATCCCTTGGCCTACTTAGGAATCTCTTATGGTGCCATACTTTCTTTGGAATTGTTTTATTTACTTATGAAATTTAAATCATTTTTTTCTTCCATAGATGACTCCTATAATTATATAATTTCCATTCTTTCCTTTTTTACCTCCAAATTCTCTTGTAACACCCTTGTATCTCAAATTTATGATCCCCTTTTCTTTATTATTTACTCTTTTATATGTGTATATAAATATGGTACAAAAATATTACCTGTTGAGTCCATTTATGTTGCTCATACATATATGTATTTATAGCTAACTATTTGGGACTTGATAACTTATCCGGGGATTCATCCCTAGAGAAGACCAATTTTTTTTTCTTGCTCGGTAGCCATCAATTGTTTGTAGTTCTTCATTTAGGGGTAGGGCCTTGTGAGATTTTTGTGAATGATACTAACATGTCAACTGTTGTTTTCATTGAGCAAATATTGTTTAAGAGATTATACTGATGTGGTTTTGTGGGTCTGTCAACCTCCTAAATACAACATGCATAATAATTGACCCAGTGACTGATATTGGGGTTCAAACTTCAAGCTGGATATCAGAAAAGAATAGCAGTTGATAAATAGCGTCTTATCCTTACCTCAGGCTGAATGGGCTGATTTTGTCTCCATGATCTCTCACCAAGTCTCAGCGTGGCTGGAGAATGAATGCTCCTATCATCAGCATGGCAGGAGAATGAATGCTCTCTGAGACCTTGCTCTGTCTTATATACTTCCCTAATGTTGGGATTAAAGGTGTGAGCTATAATTCTCTTTTATACTGATTAACTCTTTTGTAGATCTGGGTGGCCTAGGACTCTAAAATATCTGTCTATCTCTTAATCCTGAGTCCTAAATTAAGGGTGTGTACCACCACGTCCTAGCTTCTGGCTGCTTGGATTAAAGGTGTGTATCACTGCTGCCTGATCTCTATAGCTTGATTCTGATTTTGCTTTTATGAATCTTCAGTCAAGCTTTAATAAATCATAAATAATATATCACCACACCTAAATGCTGATATTACAGGTGTGCATCACAGTTCTCAGCCCTAAAGTGAGACATTCTATAACATGTAAAGGAATATTAAATGTTATTTTTAAGAATTGATCCTGTAGTACACACCTGTAGTACACAATATTACTAGTTTCCTAATTTTTTCACTTTCTTTAGTCTCTATTTCAGATCCTCAATTTTCCTTATACAACTCCTGGATAACAGAATTGCTATTTGTGATATTTTTCCTGGTGATATGTTTCATCTTACCAATCATTATATCATTATTGAAAGAACGTGGAGGTTTCAATCAATGCAGAAGAAGACTCAGAAACTTAACTTCCATGAGACCTCAATCCTACACAAAGAACTGTAGGCAACTGAGGAAAGCTGGAAGCAGAAGAGGTGTTTTCCACGGGGAAGTGCTACCAATTGATTGTCCATTGACAAATCATTAGCCATAAAAACACATATAAGTCACTTTATATGAACTGAACAGGTTATATTTAAGATTGTATATTTTGGCTATACATGTTAACACACATGCACACACACACATGCAAGCAATAAAAACTATTAATGAAGAAGCCATGAATTTGAAGGACAGCTGGGAATCATATATCAGGATGTTTAAAGGAAGATTTAAAATATAATAATTGAATTATAACTTGAAAAGTTTTTACAAAGTTTTATAAAAATAGAAAAATATTTGAGAAAAGAATGACTGATATAGCCTATTGGTACTAATTTACCGATTTGATGTAATCTTATTATAAGACCCTAGTTTATGAATAACTATTATCTAAAGTTCTGCCTAGTCCTAAGATAAAGAAGGTATATGTAGTACATGAGTTTATTTAAGTAACATATTAGAAATCTGAGGGAAATTTTCAATTTTATCTTCCATGATTAACTTATTTTTTACTGTAATTGTGTCATCACAGAGGGCTGGAGCTTCTTTTACACTGTCTTTTCAAAAGTAACTCATGAAGTCATTACTGTGCATCTGAGTTGGTTTTTAATTCTTCTCTTTCAATATATAGGTCAGTTTTTTCCTGTTGAGTATCTATCTCAGCATCTTCTAGTTTGTCTATGCAGATAATAACTCTCCAAGCACATTCTGTGATACAGATCATTTTACACTGCAATTATGTATTCCAGTTACTTAAAATTATGTTTTAATCTTCCTTGGTTATTCTTTACACACTCACCCCTTAAAAACTCTTTCCTGTTGCTGAGAAGGGATATCATGACCGAGGCAATTTATAGAAGAGTTTATTGTGGCTTCCTTACAGTTTCAGAGGTTGAATCTATAACTATCATATGGGAAGCAACTCAACAAGCAGATAGGCATGGTTCTGGAGCAGTAGACAAGAGCTTACATCTTATCTATAAGTTGAAGGGAAGGAGGACAGGTGGGAGGGAGGGATAGAGGGAGGGTAGAAGGACAGGAGGGTGACAACAGACAGACTAAATGACCTGGGCCTATTTTGTGTTTTTGAAAGCTCAAACCAATCCCCAGTGACACCTCCTCCCACAAGGCTATACCTTCTAATTCTTCTGAAAACAGTTTCACCAACAAAGTACCAAACATTCAAATATATGAGCCTTTGGAGAACATTCTTTTTTGCATTTCCATAGAATCCTTGAACATATTTCACAATTTTCATACAGAGTATCTTGTCAGAAATGTTAACTAGGAACTGACAATAGTCTTATTCTTGAATTATTTCTGTATAAATGGAATGCAATCTGTCCTCAGATATATATCCTTATGTGAATAGTTGTGTACTAAGGTGGTAATTCATAAAGCCATGACAAATTCCTTCTGATTTCTTGATAGAATATTTCTTTTTTCTATTTTTTAATTTAAATTGGAAACAAGCTTGTTTTACATGTCAATCCCAGTTCCCTCTCTCCTCCCTCCTCCCTGCTCCCAACTAGCACTGCATTCCATCTCCTTTCTGCTCCCCAGGGAGGGTGAGGTCTTCAATGGGGAATCTTCAAAGTTTTTATAGAATATTTCTAAATGAGCATGATATTAAGTAAGTATTTAGCACATAATTTCTATCACTATATGTTAGAAACAATATTATTGAATTCTGAGGGAAAATGCTTTGAGCTCATAGTGTACTTAAATTATTCCAAATAATTTGTCATAAATACAAACAAAAATTATGTAAATCTTATTAAAAATTTTTTTGTTACTGTTGATCTTACAAAAAGCACTTCAAAATTTTGCCATAAATAAAATGAGAATATATAAGAAAAATGCTTCCGGGCACAGGTGGCATACACCTTTAATCCCAACACTCATGATGCAGAGGCAGGCAGATCTTTGTGTTAGAGGCCAGCCTGGTCTACAGAATGAGTTAGAGGACAGCAAGGACTAATCAGAGAAATCCTTTCCTGAAAAAAAAAGCATGCTAACATGTAATAATTAATCCTGTAAAATAGTTTAAATGATTATTTATAGTATAGTTTCAATGTAATCAATGTACCCACTTTTTGTTTCTTTGATTAAAACAAAACCTGGTAACTAGTGATATAGCTCATCAGATAAGGGTGATTGCTACCAAATCAGTAGACCTGAGTTTTATCCCTGTAACACACATGGTAGTAGGAGACAACTGACTTCCTCAAGTTGTTTTCTTACCTCCACATGTGTACTATGGTATGCATGCCACACACACACACACAGAGAGAGAGAGAGAGAGAGAGAGAGAGAAAGAGAGAGAGAGAGAGAGGGAGAGACTAAATGAATAATCAATTAAAATTAAAGTCTGATTAAATATCTAATACAGAAGTTCTCAATCTGTGAGTCATGACCCCCATGATATTGAATGACACTTCCACAGGGGTCACCTAGGACCATATGCATATTAGATATTTTCATAACCATAGCAAAATTATGGTTATGAAATAGAAGTTGGAAATAATTTTAGGGTTGGGGGTCTCCACAACATGAGGAACTATATTAATGGGTCACAGTATTAGGAAGATTGAGAGCCACTGCTCTAATCCAATCTCTGATTTTAAAAAATCTAAGAATGAGATAAAAATGAGAGATACACTCACGTCAAAAAAGGTCCAGTTATTCCCATTCACTGTAGAAGATAATCTCTCCCAGGATGAATAGAAAATCCACTGCCTATTGTAAAGAATGATACCACTGTAGATGGTTGTTTATCTAGTGAGGAGGAATCAAATATAACTAGACGAAGCAAAAAATGCAAATTTTTGCTAACTTCTATAAAGGATCTGAGGCCTCAGTTAAAAGAATGAATAATGAAGTGATTATTGGTTTGGTAGACACTGGGGCTGACTTAACTATTATAACCAAAAGTCTTGGCCTCCAAGTTGGCATCTACAAGAGGTAAATGTTCAATTCTTAGGTATTGGAACCCAATCTCAAGTACAACAGAGCACAATATGGGTTGATGGCATAGGACCAGAGGGGTAGAGAGGAAGACTAAAGCCATATGTGGCAGACATCACAATAAATCTCTGGGGTCGTGACCTTTTACAGCATTGGAATACCCAGATTAACATTTCTCCAGTAACAGATACAAATCATAAACAAGCTCTAGATGGTAAAAAAATATTGTAAGGCACTATAGAAAACAGATACCAACCATTCAGGCTGTGTATAGCAGAATACAAATGCCAAACCTACAGAAGAACCAAAAGCCCTACCCTTAAACTGGCTAACTGATGAAACTGTCTGGGTAGGACAATGGCCTATAACCTCTGAGAAGCTAGAGGCCTTAGAAAAGCTAGTTCAGGAACAGCTAAATGCTGGGCCTATCAAAGAATCTACTATTCCTTGGAATTGTCCTGTATTTCTTATCAAAAACAAGTCTGGAAAATGGAGAATGTTGATAGACCTGAGAGCCATCAATAAAGTAATTCAGCCTATAGGCTCTCTTACAGCCTGGGATGCCCTTGCCTTTCTTGATACCTGAAAATGGCAATCATAGTCATTGATCTAAAAGATTGCTTCCTCACTATACCATTACAAGAAAAAGATAGGGAAAAATTTGGCTTCACAATGCCTACTTATAGTAATTCTCTGCCAGTTAAGAGATTTCAATGGAAGGTTTTGCCACAGGTAATGTTAAATAGTACTACCCAGTGTCAATATTTTGTACAAAAACCTTTGGAAATAATTTGTAAACAATTTCCACAATCAATAATATACCATTATATGGATGACATATTGTTGGCTGACTCTAAGAATGAAATGTTGAAAAAGATGTTTGAGACAGTAAAGGAAGTTTTATCTCACTGGGGATTACAGATTGGCCCTTAAGAGATACAAAGAGGATATTCTATTAATTATTAGGTTATAAAATAGATGTACAAAAAATTAGACCACAAAAAGTACAGATCAGGAGAGACTGTTACCAAACTCCTAATGATCTTCAGAAATTACTGGGAGAAATTTCTCAACTACAATTATTGGAGTAGAAAGACATGACTTTAAGCATTTAAAAATGGCCCTAAAAGGGGACAAGGACTTAAACAGTCCATGAATATTATCAGCTAAAGTGGAAAAATAATTAAAATTGGTAGAAAAGAGAATGCTAGACACAGAATGTGGACCATGTGAATCCAGAACTAGACTATATCCTGGTTATTTTACTATCTAGAGAATACCCCTCAGGGATACTGACACAGAGGGAAAATTTCATATTAGAATGGATATTTCTACCACATAAACAGAATAAAAAACTAAAACATACATAGAAAAGAATTCTGATTTGATTCTAAAAGACAAATTAAGACTTTGTCAACTGACCAAACTCTCTGGAAAGAAAATGGGGCCCCACCTCATCAATTCCACTGGATCCAACTTGATGCATTTGAACTGTCAATCACAACTCTAAAACTGGTTTAGGAATACATCACTCTAGACAACTCCAGAGCAGCTAACTAAGATGGTGCAAATCCTAATTGCACTCTGGCCAGAGCTTTTATTTTTTTCCATTCATTTATTTAGCTCATAAATAAAGTCATGCACAATTATGATACATAATACAGTATGTTCACAATGGCATGGCTAAATTAAACCAATTAACATGTTATATCACACATATTCATCATTTTTGTTTTGAGAACACTTAAAGTATACTATCTTACAACTTTTAAAGTATAGCATATTGTTATCAACCATATTTATCATGCTCTCAGTAGACCTCAAGACATCACAGAGTCTATCTGGCCAGAGCTTTAGATAAGAACTTCAATCAAGATAAGGACTTCCATCAAGAACTTCAGTCAAGCATCTCCCACCAAACAAAGACTGGGTACAAATGTTGTAGCTAGTTCACTCAAGACTTTCACTACTCTACCATTTTTCCTATAGGATCCCATGAGGCAATCATCATCCCATTTCAGCAGGAAGTAACTCTGAGAATACAATGCCCTCTCTCC